GAAGGACATTATTCCAAAAAGAATAAGAAAGAATAATGCGTGCAACATCTTTCCCTGCACTTTTCTTTGCAAATTTACTCTTGCTCCATTCCTATGAAGTGAACAACTTTCTCAAATTGGATTTTTGCAAGTGGATACTATGTAAAGTCAAGAAAGCAGTGGCGAACCTTGTCTTGCCCGGTTTCACCAAATTTTTTTGTCCGGTGAATCTTCTCATCATATTCAATAACAAGGGCCGCTGAGAAATATAAGAATGTACCCTAACGCCCTGGCCAAAAACTGTAGAGAAGGGTTTTTCCTTGAAAATGTCCCCGAAGATTAAGTTGATACAATGAGCCGCACATGGAGTCCAATAGACATTCTTGTACGCTCCTTCCACCATGCCACCCGCTTTCACATTTTCACTCGCATTATCAGTGACCACTTGAACAACTTTGCTTGGGCCAATCTTTTCAATGGTGTTCTGAAACAAGGTGAACATTTTGATGTGGTCAGTGGATGAGTCGCTAGCATCAATGGACTCAAGAAACAAACTTCCCTTGGGAGAATTCACCAACACGTTAATAATCATTTTCCCAGTTCTTGCCGTCCACTTATCCATCATAATGGAGCAGCCATACTTGTTCCACGCAACTTTATGTTCCTCCACAATTTTATTAGTCTCCTCCACTTCCTTATTTAGATAAGGACCTCTGATTTCATGATAAGTGGGAGGCTTCATTCCAGGTCCGTATTGACCAACGGCCTCAATAAAGTCTCCAAAAGTGTCAGTATAGTTGACACAATTGAAGGGGAGCCCAGCATCATAGACCCATCGTGCAAAAGCTCTAACTGCACGATCCCTCAAAATGTCCTTAGCAATTTTTTGTACATCTTTTCCACCGCTCTTTCCTTCCGGCTTCTTTGGGAAATAGCAATCTATAGGACCTTTAGTCCTACTCGTACCCGTCGATCCATGGCTTGNGGCTAAATAGCAATCTATATGACCTTTAGTCCTACTCGTACCCGTCGATCCATGGCTTGAAGAGATTGCATCTCTTCCCCGTTTTGTTGGAAGTGACAATTCTTCAATATCATCATCACCATCATCATCAAGATTGGTCACCAATGGTTGATGATTCATTTGATTTTTTTGCTCCTTCTTTTTCTCAACAAAATTCTTTATTTCATCCCTCGGTGGACATTTCGGACAACTTGTGACGTTTCTATCGCCACCAATAAGATGGAATTTAAAGCGANTAACTGAAATACATATAATATTAATCAAATAAACTGAAAATATAACATATATATAATAATTAATTTTATAAACTGAAATACACATTAAAAAAAATCTAATAAACTGAAAATATAACATTATATATATAAAATTAATTTTATAAACTGAAATACATATAAAATTAATCAAATAAACTGAAAATATAACATATATATAATAATTAATTTTACAAACTAAAATACATATTAAAATTAATAAATAAGAAGAATAAAGAGGGTTGGGGGGGAACCAACGCCTGCCCTAGCGCAGACACTGGACGAGAAAAACTAAAAAAGAGAAGAAGAAGAAGAAGAAAGAAGAAGAAGAAAGAAGAAGAAAAGAAGAAAAATTACCTGGAGGCTGGAACCCTAGTTGGCTGCTGCTGCTGCTAACGTTCAATTTTTGGCAAGACAAAGAAAGGTCTTTTCACTTTGGGTTTGTTTTGTATAACAAAAACAAAGACCCAAACCTTTTTTTTTTTTTTTCAAAATGACCCCTTTGGGCAGAAGCGCTCGCTTTTCGCTTCTGGATCGCTTCTCGCTTTCTTGGCTGAAGCGATCGCTTCTGCTGGTCGTGTCGCCTTTGTAAGGAAAAAGCGACAGCTTCTCGCTTAAAGCGACGAAGCGCTCGCTTTTCAAAACACTGGTCTCTGGTGGCGAAGTCTCTTTGCCAGCATTCAATGGGTGTTAAATGAGTGAACTGATGGTAGAACTGATCCCAGTACAAAAAGGAAAAAGAGGAAAAAAGCAAAAATATAGTGATTGTGATAGTTTAGACGAATATTTCAGAGTTACTTTCTTGAACTAGTCTTTAAAACGGCCCTTATCAAAATAAAGAAAACCTTTTTGTCTTTCAAACGACATGATGCTTGAATTTGGCACTTCCAAGTGTGAGCAAAACCCAATGCCATCCTTTTCTGGCATTGCGCTGCTCTAGTTTTCTTGATGCGTCTCTTCTTATGATCCGCATACTTGCATGGAACTATTAGCATACTTTATGATTACTCGCGAAAGCAAAAGTTTGCATGAAGATGGTAAAGAGTTTTTTTTTTTGGGTTGATATGGGAGATGAAGGACCCATATGTTGCATATGCTTGCTAAGCCAGAGAGATCCCCTGTTTCATTGTGGAAAGTGGTATAGATTTTTTGACGCTTTTCTAATCCGTCAGATTTGGGCATAGAAGCACTCTTAACAATTATGATAGATAGCGAGCTTCAGCACTTTTTTAGTATCAGAACTGATTCAGGAAATGGCAACTGGGTTTTATTTCTTTTGGATGGTTTCATTTGGGTTTCTCCCTATCTGGGCTTTAATCAAGGAGTTAGTGAAATAAAATGAATGGGACCAATATATGTCATATTTACGCACATTTTATATAATATCAACCTAAGTTGCTCGGATACGGGTGCGGGTGTCCGACACGGGTGCGGATCTAGAGGTCGGATCTTTCAAGATGTAAATTTTAAGATTTGGGGATATGAATCCTAGTACGGATACGGGTGCGGGTGTCCGACACGGGTGCGGATCTAGAGGTCGGATCTTTCAAGATGTAAATTTTAAGATTTGGGGATATGAATCCTAGTACGGATACGGGTGCGGGGATCCGGCTAAAAATAATTTTAAAAAATAAAAATCTCTAATTTATGAGAAATTTTGTGGCATACTTACGTATAGCTTGTAAAGTGTGGATTTCATTTTTATTCTCAAGTTGTAGATAAGTGAAAGATTGATTTCCTAGATAGGATATGCTATTTTCTTCAAATTTACCCTAATTTTAGTTCTGATTTCGGTAATCAAATTGTATCTCGTCTCGAATTTTTCTGTCCGTCGTGGTCAAAGTACCTAAAATTGTTTGATCAGATCCGGTACGGATCCCATACCCACACCCATACTAGTGTCGTGTCGACACGGGTGCGGCACCTAAACTGCCATGTCGGAGCAACTTAGATATCAACTTCTTGAAGAGATGGCAAATATGGAAATTGTACTGGCCCTTTCTGAGAAACTATGTGCTTGTTTCATGAGTTGTGATGTTTTAGCATAGCTCTTTAGGTTAGTTTGTCACATTTAAAGTAGCGACCAGTTTATCTTTTTGATTTTTATTCTTCTAGTAGAGCTGACACGGGAAACAACAGCTGAAGTATTCTATTCGAATCACCAAACTTGCATTAACTCCTTCACCGAGTATGTGAAATTCAATTTTGTAATAAAAGAGGCTTTAGTATGATTGTCTTGCAAAGAGTTCCTGGTTAAACACATCCTTGGCTATGATACTCTTTAGAGACTTGATTTTCGTGTTTCATATAAATTAGTTTGTGGAGTCAGTAACTTCCTCAAAATTCTCAACTCCGCTATTTTATGACTGCAATTACTGCCAGTTTTCTCTACTGGAAAACTATTCCCACCTCCCTTGTGGTTTGCTAAGATATTCCTGCTTCTTTGTGACAGATTCATTGTGAAGTTGGACAAGATCTTTCCTCGGCTGCACTAGTGTTGACCAGCTTCCGCGATTAGGCCTTTTGTGATGTCTGGAGTCATATTATGTTGTGGTAGCTTGTGTCTCTCAACATCAACTTATTACTGTCTCCAGTTGATGATTGTATCTGTTATGGTTGTCATCTGCTGAGTGTTTTTACTTGATTGCCTTTAGGTATTTGCGGTGCGATCTAAACTTTTTTATAACGTGTCGAGTATATGCTTGTGTTATTTATCCAATTACAAATCTGGTCATGCATTAAAATTGCCTGTATGGATAGATGTTTAGTGTAATGCGTCAAGATATGTTGAGCATGTTTGACTGGCTATATTGGAATTTGGAAGGATGAGTAATTTGGACCTCTCGTTGTCCGAAAATAAGGGATAGATACATATATATAGGAGTTTTCTCTAAAACTATATTAAGGAACTTCCTATGATGAGCGACGTGGTAGAAGCTAAAAGCGTAAGCTATATAACACCGTCCCTCTGTCTTCAAAACTTTGTTATTTTAAAGTTCCCCAGTTCAATATATGCCTGCAACTTTACTTACTCTGCCTCTGCAGAATATTTCTCCCTTTCCGCATACTACATCTGAAAGAGGGGAACCATGCATTAGAATTTTTGGATAAAATCCTTTTAGGATTTGAAAAAAAATGTTATGAATCAAATATTCTTTGTTCTTTTCAAACTTCAATATCTTTTACTAAATTACAGATAATTCGTGAGAACTCAGACAAGAAACAATCATGTACACTGGAGAAGCTAAAATGATAAGAACGCTCAAAACTATTTAGACAGTAAACTATCTAAAATTTAAAGCCGCCTGAGCTGGAAATGGATTGTAATTGATGCAGCACCTAGAAGTCCAGCTATATGGCAACAGACCTCTTTATCCTGCATCCTCATTATCTGAATCTTAATTAAGAGGATATAAAGTTTAAGAAGATAAAAGAAGTATAAGAATCTGACATCTAAACTTATTTAAGGAATAAGGTCATGCTTAGTGTAACCAATGCCTTTTTTAACTTTTGGATGTTTTGGTATATTGTTGTGTTTGGCCACAAGAAAGTTGGCAGTGTGAACCTTGGCATCGTAATCCTAGCAAAGGTTGGCTCGATCAGAGTCGCAATACATTTTTGCCTGGTTCCCACACAACTCACAACTCTTTTTCTTCTCCTTCATGCCACTCTCTCAGTTCTCCCTTACAATATTTTTAGTGATTTCATGTTCGGGATTTTATTGTTTTGAAGTATATATCGAGTTTGGAAGGTGCAAATTGAAATCAATCTGGTATTGACAAAAAAATAGGGGAAGGCTAATTTGCTGCTCTTGTGGGATATTTTACATTTCCACCTATATAGCATATCCTTCTGAACTAAATGAATACTTTAGTAATCCAAATGACAACCCTCTGTTTCGTTTAACACTTGGAAAGTCATTTTTGGATCAATCCAAAGCCCAAAAACTTTATTCAGAAGGTTAAAAAGTCCATTTGAGCGTACTCAAGATGTTTGATTAGTCTTTTACATTGTTTTTTGACAGACAAAAGATAAGACCTAAAGTTGAGTAAGAATGAAAAGGACCCACTGTGAGACAAATTTAAATGTAATTAAATCGTATTGCATGATTGTTATCAAATTAGGAAAACATAATTTTCTAATCACGAGTGATTGCACCCCGAAGCGAAGCAAAAATACTCTATGGCCTTCCAAAGGATATTTAAGCTGTTGGCAGCGAGCCGTTGATGTCATTATCATTAAAAATGGAAATTACGATTCGACCGGAAAGAAGCTCATATACACTCTATACAGGCACACACACACAAACTAATACCACTAAACATAAAATTGGCTGTCGTTCTTTTGCATACTTTTTCACACTTAACCAAGATTTAAACATAAGAATAAAACATACCTAAACTCATACTACGAGTTCAAGTACTCGTGTGTAATTAGTGTTTTTTAAGATTCTTCAGTGGGGTACAGGGTTCGCATAATATGGCAGATTTTGGTCCACAAAAGGGACTATAATTAAGCCATGTGAACCCCCCCGGGTGAAATGGCCCTTTTGTTTGATAATTTTAATTTTTTGGATATACAGGTAGCAGGGCTGTACAAAGAAAACCGATAAACCGCACCAAATCGATAATTCGAGTCAAATCGAAAAAAAAACCTGATGTGGTTTGGTATTGAAAAATAAAACCCGATCATAATTGGTTTGGTTTGGTTTTAACTAAAAAATAGTCAAATCAAAATCAAACCAACCCGATAGTACATTTATAATTTTTAAAAATATTTTATATATATAAATATTTATTGTAATGTAATTTATAAATATTTCTTAAACCTTTTCACAATTTTATCTTTTAACGTATTATTTCAAGTTTAAACTTAACATTGTTGAATGGTAAATAAATTTTAAAACCCCAAAATGTAATATGTTATGAATTTAAGAGAGATAACAGATTCAATAACAAGAAACTTCTTTGATTCAATCTCAAACTTAGCAACTCTACTTACAATGGACTCAAAAAGTAAGATAAACACTAAAAGAAAGGAAAAATGAAGAAGAAGGTTCCAGACTGCTCCTTAGCAAAAACAAACAAAAAGACTTGGCATATTTTCTGCCTAATTAGGGAAAGCTACTACTACTTATTATTTCTCCAATAGTGCTCACAGTTGTCCTCGCATAACAGCATTGCAGGTGCCCTCTCTTATCCATTGGCTTTGGGGACCACAAAGTCCTTGAAATGTTTTGGAGAGTTAACGGGCCTGGAGCTTCTCCTTAGCCCAATATCAAGTGCAGCTGGTCCAATACCTTGGTTCACAACATAATAACTCAAACAAAATTCAAATCAATACTAATACTAACAAAAAAAATTCAATTCAATATTAGGAATTACGATAGTATTGGATAATTATTTTAATTTTATATTAATTTATAATAAAAATATATAACTTAGTTTATCTTTTTCTTTAGTGCTTAATTATATAATTAATAATACTTATTAGCTATACTTATTTTAGCATGACCTATATAGTATTTTTAGATTATGTTAATTTTCATTATGGCTTATTAATTAGTAATATTTATTTTATGTAATTTTATTATTTTATTTTTGTTATTGAATATTTTAGTATAATGCTATGACTTATCTCATATTATTGTGTTAGTTTCTTGGAAAACACATTATATAGTTGTATTTTACTAAGACTTAAGAAATATTTGGAGCAAGAGTTACATATTTTATGCTACGAAGACTTTACCGGAAAAAAATCCGAAAAAAGCCGAGATTGAAAAACCCGACTTTATTGGTTTGGTTTGGTTTATAAATTTAAAAACCCAACATCATTGATTTGATTTGATAATTAAAAAATCCGAACCAACCCGACATATGCGCACCCGAACGAGGAGTCAAGACATTTTAGCTTA